GTGGTGTGCTTCACTGTCCGGAGAGTGCTCAATACCCACGTAGGGCAGAGCCTATCTATCTCTCTATCTATCTGTAATACAAATATTGCACAGCAATGAATCAAACAAGTCTCTTTCCGCTGTTACTCCGAGTTTCGCGTGTAAGCAGCCTAGGGACTTTAGACAACTGTCTATCTATCTATCTGAATAGGGTGCTCGTGAATGTATCTACCCTGCTTTTCCACTATCTTCTTCTTCCTGCAGCGTGGTGGTCTTAGCACGCCCACTTGTTTTGGTACAAGCAGCGATATACAGGCCCTAACTAGCTATCCAGTCTCCTTGATCAACTCAAAACACACCACCTTACTCCTGTCCCTGGACCTGTTGCCAGCTAGCCTGCGTTTCCGCTATGACATCCGTAGCATAGCGAACTCTGACATAAATAAGCTTCCTGTGTTCTTTGTTGGCACAAGTACGGGAGAGATCATGAAGGTGAGGATATATTTCGGTGGCACAATCACTGATTTCATTTCATGATTTAAAGGGGAGATCCGTGCTGCGTGCGACCAGTGTACTACTTGCAACGTAGACTTTCTCACCCCATGTCTGGAGCACGATGGTTATCTAAGGGCATGTTCGATTGGTAAGGATCGGGATCCAGATCTCAGATCCGTCGGATCCTTCAGATTCAACTGAACACTTTACTGTATAGCATGAAATTTTCGGACGGAAATATTTTCGGACAAAGCCGAATTTCGACCTTTCGTACGGATTCTATTTTCGTACATCGCTGCATGCTAAATGCACGTGTTCGCAAGCAGTACCCATGTATAGTGTCCATAATTTCACGGGAACAAATTTTAGTACGGAAGTAATTTTAGTACAAAGAGGCCGTGTACGAAATCGTACGAAAATAAATTCCGTCCGAAAATTTCCTGCTATACAGTATTCCCGTAGGTATGCAGAAGACGTTACTTCAGTAACGTCTTCTGCATAGCTAGCCAGGGTCCACACAGCTTTAATTCCCATAGCTATGCAGAAGACGTTACTTCAGTAACGTCTTCTGCATAGCTAGCCAGGGTCCACACAGCTTTAATTTGGTATTTGTGTGTTTGTTTGTTTGTTTGTTTGTTTGTGTCACGCCTGGCGCTATCCGTATCTGACGGCAAAAAAGCATAGGATGTTATAAATTTTTCAATTCTCCTTTTCTTTTCAGGCATATCCTGGGATTCGAACCCGCACTATCGCCCTACATGCATTCCCCCATACACTTCGCATTCATACCCATTCTTCCAAGTTGCTTCACGTTATTATCTTGCGTTTGAAAGCCCTATTTGAATATTGCGGGCAGCTGTATGTGGCCAGCTGTGTTTGATGGTACGGTACGGGAGACGGTGTCGTATTACCCTCGATCGTACCTGTCCCGTACCTATCCCCTACCGTACCGTGCCATCAAAGACGGCTGGCCACAATGCATATTCAAATACTAGTAGGGCTTTCAAATGCAAGATCACAATGTGAAGCAACTTGGAAGAATTAGTATGTATGCGAAGTGTATCAGGGGATGCATGCAGGGCGCGCGATAGTGCGGGTTCGAATCCCAGGTTGTGTCTTAAAAAAGAGGAATTTTTTAAAGAATTTATAACATCCCTATGCTTTTTTTTTGTCTAGGTCATCAAGGCAAAAAAGCATAGCGTAGGGCCCTGAGCTTCCAAGCTCTCTCGTTTGGTATTTTGTGTGTTCGTTTGTTTGTTTGTTTGTGTCACGCCTGGCGCTATCCCGTATCTGACGGCAAAAAAACCATAGGGATGTTATAAATCTTTCAATTCTCCTATTTTTTTTCAGGCATATCCTGGGATTCGAACCCGCACTATCGCCCTACATGCATTCCCCCATGCACTTCGCATTCATACCCATTCTTCCAAGTTGCTTCACGTTATGATCTTGCGTTTGAAAGCCCTATTTGAATATTGCGGGCAGCTGTATGTGGCCAGCTGTGTTTGATGGTACGGCACGGTACGGGAGACGGTGTCGTATTACCCTCGATCGTACCTGTCCCGTACCTATCCCCTACCGTACCGTACCATCAAAGACGGCTGGCCACAATGCATATTCAAATAGGGCTTTCAAATGCAAGATCATAATGTGAAGCAACTTGGAAGAATTAGTATGTATGCGAAGTGTATCGGGGGATGCATGCAGGGCGCGCAATAGTGCGGGTTCGAATCCCAGGTTATGTCTTAAAAAAAAAGGATTTTTAAAAAAAGAATTTATAACATCCCTATGCTTTTTTTTGTCTAGGTCATCAAGGCAAAAAAGCATAGCGTAGGGCCCGGAGCTTCCAAGCTCTCTCGTTTGGTATTTGTGTGTTTGTTTGTGTCACGCCTGGCGCTATCCCGTATCTGACGGCAAAAAAAGCATAGGGATGTTATAAATTTTTCAATTCTCCAATTTTTTTTCAGGCATATCCTGGGATTCGAACCCGCACTATCGCCCTACATGCATTCCCCCATACACTTCGCATTCATACCCATTCTTCCAAGTTGCTTCACGTTATGATCTTGCGTTTGAAAGCCCTATTTGAATATTGCGGGCAGCTGTACGTGGCCAGCTGTGTTCGATGGTATGGTACGGGAGACGGTGTCGTATTACCCTCGATCGTACCTGTCCCGTACCTATCCCCTACCGTACCTTACCATCAAAGACGGCTGGCCACAATGCATATTCAAATAGGGCTTTCAGCCACCTTTGTTTACTAACGCTCCTGATCCCACTAGTTAATGTAGCCTCCATTTGGTGTTTGTCTTTACACAGTGTGTGTGTGTGTTTTAGTTCGTCTTGTCTCACTACTTCCACCTTCTCTTTTCTCTCTTTCCCCTTTTTATTATCACCCCTTGTGCATAAATTCTTCGCTAAATTTATCACGTAGTTGCGATGGTTGCCACCCTTGTGATGCTACCTATCCCTATATTTCATTGGTTCTGGTTACTTGTATTTCATTTTTTGAAGAGAATGCCCGAAAACTGGTTCATGAATTTCGGACTCCTTATTGCTGATGATGGTGAAGAATAACTTGACATTTGTAGTTTTTCTTTTCCCGATTCCTTTACCTGCTATTCATTCGTTATCTGCCTCCACTGAGGAGCTCTTAGTGAGCGAAACAGCTGTCTGGACGATATACAACATCTACCCAAGAACGAACCTCCTCGCTATGGAGTGGTGTGAATGGGGGCCAAGAGCGCAGTGGGGAGAGCCGGACAGTTTACATTACTTTCAAATGGCCGAGTTTGTCGCTACAGTCAACTTCGCCTATAGCGACACTCGGTGGGGCATCAGAAAAGTGTCCTTATTCGCGAAGTGTCGTTATACCCGAAGTCTCATTATATGTATTACAGTTGGATGGGACTTTGCTCTGGGCATGAGAATTCTGTCGTTATTCGCGAATTGTCGTTATATCCGCTGTCGTTATTAGCGAAGTTGACTGTACTTCTGATCTTCCGCACAGGAAATGTTTACCTAGAATAAAACACCAGGCGTGTCTTTACCACCATATTTATCAACTAGAATATAACGTGACCTAGAAATCAGCCATGCCACGCCACACAGTGTGCAAAGTGCATTTTTGGATCTGGAAAACTGGTTTACCGAAGTTTTCGCGCTACCAAACCGTTGATTTTTGGGAAATACCGAAAATATTACGCCGCCGAAATATCCCGGTTTTGTAGTACTGTGACGTTGTTGAGTTTACCGCGTACTTTTACCAGTTGCCGAAAACTCCGGGCTGAGATGTGTGTGTGTGTGTGTGTGTGTGTGTGTTTGTCGTGAGAGGAATCGTTTCCCATGATAAGCCGGATCGCTGCCAGAGATGGCTCTCTCGAACATGATCCCTGAGTCCCTGACCTAGTACCTCTCTCTCAGCGGACTGCCGTTGCTCGTCGTTCCGTATTGTCGGCCCCGCAAGGGGACACGTCACCGTAATGGCAGTGTTTACCAGGACCAGGTGTGTGTGTGTGTGCGTGTGTGCGTGGACGTGTTTATACGTGTGCGTGTGTACTGTAAAACGGGGAATTTTCGGCGGTGCAATATTTTCGGTATTTCCCAGAATCAACGGTTCGATAGCGTGAATATTTCGGTAAATCAGTTTCACAGATCCAAGAAATGCATTTTGCACACTGTGTGGCATGGCATTGTTGAATTTTAGGTCGCGTTTAATTTAAGATAAAAATTACCTGTACCGAAGTTACCGAAAATAAATCTTCACCGAAGATTTCCGGTTTTACAGCACTCTAATTTCAGAAATTTTCGGTGCTCAATATTTTCGGTATGAGGGCAACAGGCTAGGTTAGGTGAACAGAAATTTTCGGTGCAGAGAAGCAGTTCCCTATTGGATTAGGTGTGTTAGTGTTTGTTCGGTGTATTGAAATTTTAGGTATGAAACAGACGCACTGAAAGTACCGAAAATAAAAGTACACCAAAAATTTCTGAAATTACAGTATAATTATGTTAGTACGTGTGTGTGGATGTATTTGGATGTATGTAATTGTGTGCTGGTGTGCACGCACGCACGTGCACATGTGTGTATGTGCGTGCGTGTGTGTATGTGTATGTATGTGCGTGTGTGTGTGTGTATGTGTGTGTGTGTGTGTTTGTGCTAGTTCGGTTGGTGGGTACACTTATGCCAGATAGTGTTGGGCCTGTTGCCAACGGGCTCGGCTGCTTGAAGGTGTATTGTTGTACCTACCACCTTTGTTGGTTTCAGGGTTCATATACTTTCTATTTGAAGTATACATACCTGTTAACCATGGACTGCTTCTGGCTAGATTAACTCTTGTGTAATCAATGGTGCTAGTGAAGATTATATCAGATCCACACTGATTTAGCCACCCACACTAGTACCAAGTATTACCTTCACTGGGGGCAGGAGTACCTGCAGTTGGATCCCGGGGCGGATACCCTGATGCCGTCAATCCTTTTTCTGCACCTTGTCCTCACCCACTTACTGAGGTGTGGTGAGCCCATAAGTGGGATCATTTCAAGTCCACCCTAGTTTGGGGATTTCAGGGGGTGTCGGCCGTTGGGTGGTTCAATGGCCAATTGAGTCATCTTTCCTAGATTCCTTTTGAGTCTCTCTCCCCTCTCCCGGGGAGACCCACGTGACCAGTTTTGGCAGTGAGCAAGTACAAGTGTGTTTGTGTGTGTATGTGTGTGTGTGTGTGTGTGTGTGTGTGTTGCTGTGTGTGTGTGTCTGTGTCTGTCTGTCTGTCCGTGTGTTTGTGTGTATGTGTGTGTGTGTGTGTCCCATATGGTGCAGTGGTATGTGCAGTCGATTTCCAATCGAGAGGTTGCGGGTTAAATTCCCGACGATTATGGTCGCACACGTCTTTCTTCTCTTTCTCATTCTCCTAGCTCTTCTTTCATTCTCCTGGGTGGTTACCAACAGCCAGTGTATGCCGTATTATGTGGTGTGGTGTGTGTGTGTCGAAAAAGAAAAAAGAAAAGAAAAATATGTAAATAATCGACGCGGAGACAACAATTTTATAGCTCTCACTTTACTTCTATTGTCTCACCTTCCCTCATTCTATTTTTAGCACTTTGTTTTGTTCTCGTAACACATTATTGAATGTATATAAATTATTGATTTGGCATGGTTATTCTTCAGTCACGGCTTTCCACTGATGATTGTGACAAGAAAATCGATTTTGGTAAACCTTCATGACTTTGTTGTAGTGTGGCGATGACAGCAGAATTTGTTCTCTTTATAGCTATTATAAAAAAAGAAAAAGAAATTAAAAAATGGAAAAATGAAAAATAGGGATTCACTGGCCAGAAAAAGTCACTTCAATCAGCTGTGTGATGGATACCAGGCTAAAAATAGTGGCGGTCAATTCTTCAGCCTTGCAAGCTGTTGAATGGTGCAATCCCAGCACAAGTTGCTATGTTAGTTGCTATGTCTAACATAGCTGTTCGCAGGTCTGAGGTGTGCCGGTGTGTGTGTGTGTGTCTGTGTGTGTGTGTGTCTGCGTGTGCATGTGTGTGTGCTCACTCTAACTTGCTTGGACGTTGGTGGATATGCCAAATTATTTTGTTTCAGCTATTTGAACCAAGTACTGGCATTTGGTGGGTTTTTGAGGTGGTGAAGCTTGATGACCGCAGCCAACCTGTAACGGATATTACTATCTCTGGTGGAAATTATTATGCTACATTGCAGGGGGGAAGCACAGCCTCTGAGGTTAGTCCTACAGATTGTGTGTGTGTGTGTGTGTGTGTGTGTGTGCACGCGCGCGTTTGTGTGTGTGTGTGTGCGCGCATTTGTGCATGTGTGTGTGCATACGTGCTAGCGTGTGTGTGTGTGCGTGCGCGCGTGTGTGTGTGTGTGTGCGTGTGCATGCGCGTGGGTGTGGGTGTGTGTGTGTGCGTGTGTGTGTGTGTGTGTGTGTGTGTGTGTGTGTATGTGTGTGTGTGTGCGTGCGTGTGTGTGTGTGTGTGTGTGTGTGTGTGTGTGTGTGTGTGTGTGTGTGTGTGTGCAAGCACATGTGTTTATGTGTGTACACACGTGTACAGGCGACTCCACATTCTAATGAAAACCCATGTGTAAAACATTCTCGGTATTGCGGGCCGTTTTCCACATTTCTACGAGCCGGTACAGAATTGGCCCTTTGGTAGAGAACCTTGTCGCTGATGAACTTTGATCCTAGAGGGTGGTGGCGTTCCCACGGCGGATGCGGAAAACTCGGCTTGCAGCCGAGTCCCACGCAAACCGTGACATTTATTCATTTTTATTATTTATCGCTGATGACGTAACACATCTTGTTGGGAAGTAGTAGTTAGTACTTCCTCCGCGTCATTAAAATTGTCGCTTCCCAGAGCGATTTTTCGAATTTTGTTTTGTCCACTCGAAGGGCAAAGAAATCAGCCAGAAATTGAGGCAGAGCATTGTCGACGGACCAAGCTTTAGTTTGTGCCCCCCCCCCCCCCCCTTCGCTGCACTTGCAGCTAAGGTCGACGTCTTCATCAGAGTTTGAGACAGACCCTTCAGCATTCAACAATACGTTGAACAAGACGCGCGGTCAAATTCAGGTCAAGAAACTTCGTTTTCAAACGATCCATGCTTCCAGGTGGCAGGCAAAGAAGGCAAGCCAGCATCTTTCAAGTACACTGTAACGACCTTCCAACGGGATAGGGTAAGCAGTTTCGCACCTTCTTTCCTTGGCAAGCACTTCGCTGATTTTGTTGGTGCTTTCAGACCTGCTACCTTCGCAGCAACATGCGCCACAAGTAGCGCATTTTAGGAATTTGAGACCGCTTTGTTCTTGCCATCCTCAACTTCAGCATTTCCTATTCAGGAGAGATACCAGGATTCTTATACTCGAGCTTGTAGTCTTGATAAATGCCCACGCGAACGATGTGGGACGGCACGAACTCCAGAAAACGAAATGTGCTCTGGGGCGGAATAGTGCGGAGCGTGATGAATTTGCTTGGTGCGGAAGAGAGCTCCGACAAAGTCCGAGACCACCACGGCTTCAGTAACAAGTAGACATTGCGCAGGAAGGGTCGCACCAGTGTTCGAACACAAAAAACAGCGATTCCGACAGTCTGACTAAGACGAGCTAAGTCTCAAATATTGCGATGTGCGAAGCGACAATTTTAATGACGCGGAGGAAGTAGCAGTTTTTATTATTTTACTAGGGGAGTCCCAACAGGCTACTGCCTTTTTACTGGGAACCCTAGGTGAAGTTGAAGATGTGGCACTCATGCTGTCACCGGCTACATGCACTGGGAAGTCTGTTTCATTCTGTACCTGCAGCTGTTCCGACAGCAAAACATTGAATACTAGAAGTTCTTGAGGGGCACATAGGAGAGACAGGGCGCTCTGGCGGGATTTCGCAGTTCAAGCACTGTAATGTCGACAAATTTTCGGCCCATTCAAATTTCGGCCTCCCGGGGCTAAAACCCATTTCGGCCGCATCAAATTTTCGGCCTGTACTGCTACCGCATGTGTACACTGTCACACTGAACCTGACAAGGTTAGGCTTACACCGCACTTCCACATGGTAGGACAGATGTGGAAGTGGGCTGCTAACGGGGTTACGCTTACACCCGGACATCTGCATGGTAGGACGAATGCAAAGGAGCTGGTAACCTGGAGTTGGGCGTCAGCTCAAAGGCTTACAGGGTGCTTTGCAGCCACCCACTCCATGTGAATGCCACCCTTTCCGTGAGTTCCTTATTTATTCGTGACTCGGATAGTATGTAGTAATGAGTACTGTGATACTAGTACCACGCCAAATTGGGTGGGTTGGGATGGGGAAAATTTGGCAAAGAGCTGGTGTTGGAGCAAACAGCAAGTGAGAGTGGTAAGCAACAACAGGAACAAAGAACACGGGTGCATGCGCATATGGGGTCAGATGCGCTGGTGGGTTCAGCTGTCGACAGAGCTTGCGGGGGAACACGCTCCCGTGTGACGCGAACTACGACCATGTGCGCAGCGGTGTGGGCAGCTCAGCGACAGCGCCACGGGTAG